TTTGAGTGAATATATTTTTCACAAAGATAAAGAAATTTATTCTATGTATCTATTTAGTGTTTACTTGTTTTTGACTGAATGCTGATGAATAAAACATATTGTTTTAAGATTTCCTTTAATGAAATTAGTAGCATGGTATAACTATAAATGATTACCAAGTCAAGCCTCTTGTCAATCTCCAACAAGTCAGTGGATCCACAATACGTATCCGTAAATTGAAACAATGATTCTTTTAGAAATGTTGTACGTGACTTGTGTCAATGCATTGTAAGGCTAAGAGGTTTAATAATGGATTACACAAATTATTACACAAAGCTATGAGTGTAAAGTATATGTAATAATTGTTTTAATGGTTATAAAATGATAAAATAGATGAACTGGTATAATTGGATAAATACCGCCATATAGCTGGAATATTGCCGAGTGCGACGTAATACTAAACTCACTCACTCAGATATATTGAGCTGACATTACATATAAACTAGTAATATATACTGCAAAATTAGATAAGTAAACTTATAATACATGGGAATAGTATACGTAGATCTAGGTGTAGAACTGAAACGAATGAACATGATATAAGCATGTCTAATACACTTGCATGTTTTGAGCTCAATAGGTAAATTACTTACATGATGAAGTTTTACGTCCAGCAGAAATATTTTCGTATATTGCACATTCATGACAGGGTTTTGAAAAATCACCTATTTGCCACTAACACAAGTTCTCATAAGTAGGATTCATGAAGCTCGAACAGGACTTTTAAAGTAACGTGAATATGTTTTCAGATTTATTCACTGTTAATTATCTCTAAGCCTACATGTTTATGCTTGACACCGAGGAGGAGCAATTAGTGCCCATATTGCGATGAAAAGACCCTTAAGCCAATAACAGCCCACTGTTGTCACTTTGGGTACTCACATTCAATCTGCTCATTTCCACCTTTCACGGTCCCCTTTGATGTCGGCAATGTAAACAAATAAAACAATGGCGACCGGATCACGTCCACGCGAGACTACCTAAATCATTATAAAAACACACAGCTGACATTTTAGGTGTATAGTGTATGTTTATTTTGTTGTATAACGCGGAAAGATATTGTCAAACTGTAATGTTAGATTTAGATTAAAAAACAACAAGTGTTTTTCCCGTGAGTCTTTGCGAGACGCCATTTTCATAGCCGCCTCAGTTTCCCTCAAAGCACTGGAAGAGAGAATTCGCTACCTGGAAAAGAAAGATGGAAATGGCTGCGAAAAACTCGCAGTACCACGACCCTGTCAGGTGAGACCAATTTATGTTGTTGTCAAATAACGTTTTAATGAAGATTTACTTAACGTACAGAAATCCGGATTGGTAAACAAGCTAATCTATCGAATTACCGCCACTGGCCATAGGTATTCGTCACTATGCATTATTCGACTTACATGTTAATTTGGTGCAGCTAGAAATATGTCTTGAATTTATTTAATATCCGTTTGATATTGTTCATATTTTGCACATGGGTCATGAATCATCTCAGCTGCAAAAACATAATTTCCGTTTTATTTTCAATTCAGTGCGTGTCATGGTTATGGCAATTTTTAACATGGCGGTCTATGGGGAAAGAATACGCAATGTTGTATATATGTTGCTCATGAAACGGGTTATAGCTAAAACGGCACCACAGCAGAACGGCACCAATATCGTTTGGCAAAAACGGCACCGTATTGGCGAAAACGGCTACTGCTTTCTGAGCTAAAACGGCATCATATACAAAACACAGCATGATGTTGACTTTTATGTTTTAGTTCGCTTGATTATAACATTAGAATCAACATATAAAAAACACAGTATGACGGTGACTTATGGTTATTATTTCATTTCATAACATTAGCAAGATTATAACACGTGATATAGCTGGAATATTGCTAAAAGCGGCGTAAAATCATAACTCACTCACTCACCCATTACATTAAAATAACAAGATTATAATAAAGACGATAACAAACCGTCAATATAACACATGTTCACACGTCAAAGTCCATATTTGGCCGGATGTTTATGCATATCCCATGAATGTCTTCATGAATTGCACTAAACGATATCAGCAGTTGGGGGGTCGAGGAGGGTGCTGTCTACCATGGATCGTTCCGAAAAATGGTTGAAATCATGGTCGTCTTGTGGTGGCAATGACTCTGTTGAAATATTGATGTCCGATAAGTCGGGTAGGGGGTTGTTCGACAGCTGGTAAGGTGGTGTCCGATTCCAAACTGACATCAAAGGTTGTGATGTTTTCACGCTAAATTGACAGACGTTTCCAATCACTGTCGGCACAGTAGATGTTTTGACTATCGAAACATTCTACAAGCCGATTATCGGCTATAGTCAGTCAGACTCATTCATTATCTAAACATACTGGAATCCGATTATCAGCTAACACAAACTTTCCAATCACTGTCGGCAGAGTAGACGCATTCCAAAATTCTGTATTCAGATTAGCTAATGACAAATAAGATTTTCCCAAGAATTAAGATTTTATTTGGTGCCGTTTTCACCATAAGATTTGTAGCCGTTTTCGCCAAGTCGAAGTTCCGTTATGTCCAAATGGTGCCGTTTTCGCCAGGTGCCGTTTTGCTGTGGTGACGTTTTAGCCTGATCCCCATGAAACTACAATGGGGAAGTTTTAGCCTGATCCCCATGAAACTACAATGGGGAATATTATGTATCTGTGACCAAGATGATTTCCTAACAACCTGCAAAATGTGACAACCAAATATGGAAAACTGAATTAATGAAAATTACACAGCTACACTAAAATAGCATGCAAGTCTATGAGAATTTTGCCGACTGACGTATATTTAAGTCCCATGACTGTATAAACAGTTTTGCTCGAACTATTTTCAAAGGTTGGTGAAGTAAAATAAGTCGATCTAAAAATATACTACAATTTTGAAAATATAGCAAATAGATTATGTATTAATGGATTTGTTTGATTCATTTAGGCTGTTGTGAGGAAACATGTGTCACGACTACTCCTGGAGGAAAAGATCACCCTCTCTTACTGAAGGTATGTGTTTATGGTACAACGAAACATAGACATAATTTCACTTTGAATATTTTATTATTATGCTTCCCTAGATACATTTTCACAAAATGAACCACACTAAAGTTACATTTGCAAATGGATTTGAATAACCGGTAACTTAATCATGATTTCAAATTGGACGAAAGAAATCTTCACTTAACTTAACTTCACAACTTCACACCTGTGTGAAATTGCAGTCCCCCTTGATTTTACAATACCGTAATTACTCCAAGGTTATGTCACATGAGATAACTAAACTTCATTCATCAGGATGTTTATGTCAGGCCGTTCACTTACTGATTGCATAACCTAAAGTGATAAATCTGTGGTTTGCTTGTTGGTATAAATGTCGCTGCAATTGTTCGGGGGTTTTTAAAACTCGAATGAATGAATGGGGAAATGCAAAGAAAAGTAACGTGTTATTGTTTATTTTTTTCAGCAAAGCTGATGATTAGTCTGGTCGAGACTGTATAATGAATGACCAAAGATGGTCAGCAGGAACATGTGAAGGTAATTTTGACCTATCTGTCGTTACTTTCATTATAAATAGTAAATAGTTTCCAATTAATAGTGTAGAGACAAGGTTTATGGATGTCAACTCCTTTATTATGTGAAAACATGTTTCAGAGTGAATGATTACCCCTTCGTCAGGTGTAAGCATTCACTCCAGCTGTGTGTTTTCACATAATAAGAACGATTGACATCCATAAGCTGTCATGTCTTAATATAATTCACTTCTAAATACGCCTCAAAGACTTAATGATGTAAACATACAGTCACTACTGGGTGAATATACTTGTGCCTTCAACAATACGACTGACTAACTGAGTTTGGTTTTAGGCCGCTTTTAGCAATATTCCAGCAACATCACGGCGAGGGACACCAGAAATGGGCTCAATACGAACTGTAAGAGATTGAATATAGCAATTTGATGAAAATCTATTACTAGTACCATTATTACTATATAGAAAATGCAATAAATGTTCAGATATATATATATAACGTATTACTACCTCTGGTCTGGGAAGCATGTAACTCCAGAGCAAATTTTGTATAGATTGTGTGTCCTCTTTAGAAAATAAGATATTTCATACGGTCAATGAAGCGTGATGAATTGCATAATTTGAGTTTTGAGAAAACTAGTGCAAAGTGTGACTGTTCAATTTAGTTCTCTTTTATTCAAACTTCCTTTTGGATTACTCATTTTAAATCATCCTTGGCATTGTCAGCTTCTTGTTGATTGATGTTTGTGTAATTTATCAAAATAACCTAGTAATTCGTTATTACCTGCCATTTTCAGAAACTTGCACAACGCCTAAACAGACTTGCATCTATCGATTGGCCAGCTAGACGAAAGAAAAAGGTAGCGACAACACTCACCATAGACATGACATCACCAGTCGTGAGTGACGAAGATGACGTCAATTAGTTGCATTCCGTCCCCTTTGTCTGGGAGTCCGGCAAGTTTAGGGCATACACGACGACACTGGACTTGGAAAGAATCTACACCTCCACTGCTCTCGTAATGGCCAACGTGAGGACGAGGCATCCAACCAACCGGAGGGATCTTCGCCCAGGGATGCCCCTTATTGGGCTAACTGACCAACTCTTGCAATATAATTGCAATTTCATAATGTAATTTTTGTTTTATTTTATTTTTGTATTGTAAGCTGTATGTTGTGTTATTGTATGATGTATATCATAGTGGATGTTTGGCGATAGTTGTGACATAGAGTATGTGGCTGAATGCCAAGGCGTGCAAATAAATGTCCGATGCAGCTATGTTTTATTACTGTGTTAAGTTGTATGTTATTGTTATTTTTCACCATTAGCACAAATCTCATAACTAAAAAATCAATGATGTTCACATGTCCACCCATATAGAAAGGAACGGACACAAAGATCAATACTCAAAGGTCAATGAAGTTCATATGTACATCCATAGAGAAGTTAATAGACACAAGGGTCACAAATCAAAGATCAATAGTGTTCATGTGCCACCCATGTAGATGAGAACCTATGCAAAGGTCCCAAATCAAATATACATGTGTCCACCCATATAGAAGGTGATGGACACAAAGCTCATAACTCAAGGGTCAATGATGTTGACATGTCCACCTCTATAGAAGGTGACGCATGTAAATATCATAACTCAAAGGTCAATGATGTTCACATGTCCACCCCTATAGAAGGTCACAACTCAAAGGTCAATAGTGTTCATGTGTCCACCCATGTAGATGAGAACCTATGCAAAGGTCCCAACTCAAATGTCAAAACTGTTCATGTGTCCACCCATATAGAAGGTGATGGACACAAAGCTCATAACTCAAGGGTAAATGATGTTGACATGTCCACCCTCATAGAAGGTGACGCATGTAAATATCATAATTCAAAGGTCAATGATGTTCACATGTCCACCCCTATAGGAGGGAACGCACACAAAGCTCATAACTCAAAGATCAATGATGTTCGCATCTCCACCCTTATAGGAGGAAACGTATGTAAATATCATAACTCAAAGGTGAATGATGTTCACATGTCCACCCCTATAGGAGGGAACGTATGTAAAGACCATAACTCAAAGGTCAATGATGTTGACATGTCCACCCCTATAGGAGGGAACGTATGTAAATATCATAACTCAAAGATCAATGATGTTCATGTGTCCACCCCTTTAGGAGGGAACGTATGTAAAGACCATGACTCAAAGGTCAATGATGTTGACATGTCCACCCCTATAGAAGGTGACGTATGTAAATATCATAACTCAAAGGTCAATGATGTTCACATGTCCACCCATATAGAAGGTGACGTATGTAATTATCATAACTCAAAGGTCAATGATGTTCACATGTCCACCCCTATAGGAGGGAACGTATGTAAAGACCATAACTCAAAGGTCAATGATGTTCACATGTCCACCCCTATAGGAGGGAACGTATGTAAATATCATAACCCAAGGGTCAATGATGTTCACATGTCCATCCATATAGAAGGTGACGCATGTACATATCATAATTCAAAGGTCCATGATGTTCACATGTCCACCCATATAGAAGATGACGTATGTAATTATCATAACTCAAAGGTCAATGATGTTCACATGTCCACCCCTATAGGAGGGAACGTATGTAAAGACCATAACTCAAAGGTCCATGATGTTGGCATGTCCACCCGTATAGGAGATAACGTATGTAAATATCATAACTCAAGGGTCAATGATGTTCATGTGTCCACCCCTATAGGAGGGAACGTATGTAAAGACCATAACTCAACGGTGAATGATGTTCGCATGTCCATCCGTATAGGAGGGAACGTATGTAAATATCATAATTCAAAGGTCAATGATGTTCACATGTCCATCCGTATAGGAGGGAACGTATGTACAGATCATAACTCAAACGTAAAGAATGTTCTTGTGTCCACCGATGTAGGGGAAAACGTATGCAAAGGTCGCAACTCAAAGGTAAAGAATGTTCATGTGTCCACCCATATAGAAGATGACGGACACAAAGCTCATAACTCAAAGGTCAATGAAGTTCATATGTCCATCCATATAGAAGTTAATAGACACAAGGGTCACAACTCAAAGGTCAATAGTGTTCTTGTGTCCACGCATGTAGATGAGAACCTATGCAAAGGTCCCAACTCAAATGTCAAAAATGTTCATGTGTCCACCCACATAGAAGGTGACGGACACAAAGCTCATAACTCAAAGGTCAATGACGTTGACATGTCCACCCTTATAGAAGGGAACAGACGCAAAGGTCATAAGTGAAAAGTGAATGGTTCATATGCTCATTCAATATAGAAGGTGACGGACACAAATATCATAACTCAAAGGTCAATGATGTTCACATGTCCACCCTTATAGAAAAGAACGGACAGAAGGATCATAATTCAAAGGTCAATGATGTTCAGATTTGTCCACCTATATAGAAGGGGAACGGACACAAGGATCATAACTCAAAAGTCAATGAGGTTCACATGTCCATCCCTATAGAAGGGAACGGACACAAGGATCATAACTCAAGGGAACGTATGTAAAGATCATAACTGAAAGGTCAATGATGTTCACATGTCCACCCCTATAGTAGGGAACAGACACAAGGATCATAACTGAAAGGTCAATGATGTTCACATGTCCACCCCTATAGAAGGGAACGGACACAAGGATCATACCTCAAAGGTCAATGAGGTTCATATTTCCACTCCTATATAAGATAATGGACACATGGATCATAACTCAAAGGTCAATGATGTTCACATGTCCCCCCCCCCCCCCCCCCCTGTAGAAAGGAACGGACACAAGGATCATAACTCAAAGGTCAATGAGGTTCACATTTCCATCTATATAGGAGGGAACGTATGTAAAAATCATAACTCAAAGGTCAATGAGGTTCACATGTCCACCCCTATAGAAGGGAACGGACACAAGGATCATAACTCAAAGGTCAATGATGTTCACATGTCACCCCATATAGAATTGAACGGACACAAGGATCATAATTTAAAGTCAATGAGGTTCATATGTCCACCCATGTAGAAGGGCGCATCTATACACAGTTGATAATGCCACAGAATCATTTTACTGCGTTCTTTTGTTCGTCCATTAGAAGAAACGGGACATAGAAACCATTCGAACTGATTACGAGTTCCAAGGTCCAGACCGTTTTATATACAGACGGAAACGTGAACAAAACATCAAATCAAATGACATACTCTCAAGTAAGTAGCGTTGTCATGTGCACCCTCGTAGAAAGAAACACTGGCGAGCAGATCATCTGGGAGAAGTGAAGGAGCTCCCAAGTTGTACAGTGTCGAAATATTTCACAATTTGTTAAAAAAGGAAATTATAAGATCACGCAATGCACATCAAAATGACTTAGACAGTAGTAGAACATGAAAATATCTATTAGACAACGATACAGCACTTAATAGGGCTATAGATCTCAAGCAAGAAATGTAGGGTCACAATACTGAGGACCACAGAAAGCAACTTGCGGTACCTTTACACCCTTCATTGTACTACAGCGTGATTTACAGCTCCCCTTGGTTAGTGACGATTGTTTCACGTGCACGGAGATTAAAATTACCTATATTCTGCAGTCAAGTAGACGTAAGGAAAGTATGTTTTGTATGAAATGGTCATAGGTTTGTGCAACAAGACTTAAGAATGGGGTTCTATATTTTAAAAACATAGCACAGGGAATTCATATCATTTAAAGGGTCATTGAAATATTTATCCTTTGTAATGGAAAAATCAACACAGTCAAAGCAGGACATGTTTGATTATACATATTGTCATGGTGTTTGCTGCATCAGTCATTATGTGTTGCCAACAATTCCATCTTGAGTTTGGAACCAGCGAAAGGCGTTGTCGTACTGGCCAGTTGGAAGATTATGATATCAGTTAAACTAGATGCTGCTACCAATAGACTGAACTCAGGACAGAGTGTGTAACAGAAATTACTTGGTCTTGGTGAGACGGTTTGATATATTGTGGAACTGTTAAAATTGTCTTTGATTCCTCTGTCCAGAAAGGAAGAGTAAACTAGTCTGTCATCCAACAATGGGTCGGTTTGGATCCATCCGTGAATATTGATTTGCAGGTATTGTTAGTACTGCTCATATTCTTGTTCTGGGGACGATGGGATAGCCTTGTGGTTAAAGCGTTCACTCGTCATACCGAACATGAGTTACAATGTGTGAAGCCATCTCTTGTGTCCCCGTCGTGATATTGCTAGAATGTTGATAACAGCGGCGTAAAACTAAACTCACTCATCCACTATTATTGTTCATACTGTCATTGATTTGTAATATATAGTTTCTAAGGGGGGCGGTGGGGTAGTCTAGTGGTTAAAGCCTTAGCTCGTCACGCCGAACCTGGGTTCGAATCCCCACATGTGTACAATGAGTGAAGCCCATTTCTGGTGTCCCCGCCGTGATATTGCTGGAATATTGCTAAAAGCGGCGTAAAACCAAACTCAGTCCAGTCAGTATAGTTTCTAGGATTTGGTTAATGTCATGCCCACTTATGATAACTGATAAGGAAGGGTCAAATGGCGGAAAGGAGACTGTTTAATACTTTTATTTCAATCACAGATAACAACAAAAGTACAAGCGCATGTGAGATAACAAAGTATCAAGCGTTAACACACACTCTGTTTTAATGTATGTATTATCGATGCAGCTACGCTAGAAAACTATATGTACCCCTAACAACGGAAAACTGAGTTGCAAATACAGGTTAAATACGCAATGTGAAAACTCATATCTGCTTCACCCAACAAAAGATTACAGTGGTGGTGTTCTTGTACATCCGATTATGATAGTGAGAAACATATAACTCAAATGTGACTCAAGTTTTCGTATGGTAAAAAGCGTTTTATATATATGTATTTTCTGTTTTTGTTTGCCTCTATATTTTTGTGTTATTAGTTTTTCTCAGAAGTGGGAAGTGACTTTGTGTACCGAGTGTATTGCAATACTATAGCGACGTGTAAGTGCAAGTATGTGGCTGCTTATGTCTAGTCGGGACTCGCATCACTCCCAGTATTGTGGGGCTAGATACCATGTAGCAGTTTAACATAGACTCAGGCCCAGTCCGTACAACCGCTTGTTTTTAACCCATCTAGTTTGGTCAGTACATCTAAGTCCTGATAGGCTACAGCGCTATTACAGTGCATATATTTCTTCATACATTTTATATTTTTCACAGATTATTCATAAATAGGAAATCAGTATAGGTGCAAGTCGCTGTGCATAGTCTGTCTTGTTTATAGCCCCACGCTTGGCAAGCGCAGTAGTAGGCAATTAGCAAACGCGTCCACGCCAACATTAAACTAATTAATCAAACATGAGAGTTATTGAGCTGTGTCGGCTCCGGCCTTTCTTCTCAGGTACATCCCTTTGGTCAAGCACAGATAAGTAGTCCCATCCCAGCAGGAGCATGTCTACCACCATCTAAGTCGTAATCGAAAATCAACTTTTGTTGAACAGAGATCGAGATTACCATCATGCCATCCTCTTTGTCCTGTCGTAAATGCCATGGTCAAGCGCTGAGCCAGATATTTTGTTAAGCAGCTGGCGCAGGCTGACTGTGGCTACACCATAAAGAAAATCAAACCTTGTTAGGCAATCATCTTCTTACCACCTACCTCGTGTAGTATACTTTGTCAGCATGGGTAGATAACGCATATGGAAACTTCAACTTTATAGAAACTTGATAATGACAAACGAGAAGTAGAGCTGTGGGTTATAAAATCCTGGGTTCTACCATCTCAGTACACCTTGCTTGAATAAACCGAAGGAACTCACAGCTCTCTCCTTTCTTGTTTCAAGGTAAGAAACGTTTAAACTTTATTCTTGTTTATGTCTAACTTGTTATTTCTTTGTAATTATTGTCTAGAAAATGTTAGAGTCAGGTTTGAAACATTCCTACGATATTGAAGCACTTTTAGAAATACCTACCATTGTAAATGCTGGCTCTAGATATATCAGGGATATTTTATATGCACATTGTGTCGTGGGCTCCTCAAGTTTTATGTATTTCGTGTACAAACAAATATGTCTTTTTTTATGTTTCGACACA